TGTTCCGACTTGCAATGAGTTTCAGCCAAAAGCATAGTAGAAAATCTGAGTCCTGATCTTAGCAAGTCTTGCTGCTGCTTTACTTTTAACCACATTTTTTCCAATAAGTGGTCTGCAGCTGTGAAAACATCAGTAAAATTTAATGTCATCGTACATTTGGTCAAACATAAATCTTGACGTTTGGACTGTGTGAAGTTTCTGAAACATATTTTGTTATTAAAAGGACACTGTCAGAGTCTGTTGTTTGTAATGGTCCTCCAAAAGCTTTCCTTGCATACAGGTTTTATCTCTTGCATTTGACACATCTGCATATTTCCCCTTTTGAAGGTAGTTGAAATTAGCATTACTATTTTTATTTCCTCATTTGTTTGACAACAGAAGAAATGTTTATGACTAAAAATAGTAACTATTGATTTTAACTTCCCATTGTGGGAGTGGACAAGTAGGGCCTTTTTAAAACAAACAGGAACAGGGAACGTGTTTCTGTTTCTGCCTTTAACTATTTATGTAGATAGCTTCAAGATTTTGTGCTGCTGCTGAAGCACTTGACAGCTTGATAACAAAATGTGTATAATAATACAAATAACAGCCTGTGTTGCTGGTGTGTTTTGGTTGTTTTTTTCATTCCCATTTTGATTAAAGTTGTAACTGATATACAACACTCTCAGGGTACATCTGCACTGCTGTCAGCCGTGTCGCTCAGGCAGAGGTAGCTGAGGCACTTTACGTGAACAAATGGCAAGTGTCTTGCTGAGGCAGCAGAGTTCAGTCCAGTCTAATTTTCCTTGGTAGTGTGAGGACAGGAGGATCTTGGGCTCCTCACACTTAAGGTATTTGCTACAATTTAAGAGACTCTGTAAGCTGTTCCTTTATGTGTATATTTTTGGAAGTCATATTTTTGCAAAGTGTGGTCGCTGTGTTGTCAAACACATGCAATTGTTATCTTCATCCACTGCAGAGGGCTCATCCCAAAGGACAAGCTTAGTTTTTCTTCAGGAGCTCTGGTGCTCATTTCCATTGCTGTATTTCAAGGGCTTTGCCACTCTGGAAAGGCTCTCACCAAAACTGCACATAGTGGGGCATTTTTCCTAGGCAGGGATGACTCACTAAGGGTGGGGGTTTGGGGACTTCTTTCCCACCCCCCTAAACACAGACATATTTTTCAGTTTGCTATTTAACTACAACACTCTGCTGATGATATTTTCTGCTTTGTGGTGGTTTGTGAACATGGGCTGAGAGATTCGAGGAGGATCTTGTTCTTTTGTTGTAGAATGTCTGGTTTGGTATTTTGATTTGATGCTGTTGACAAGGGATGCCCAAAGCATTTGGAGTAACGTATTGAACAGCCAGAAACATATTATACATTCAGAACAGCTAAAAATTCTTCCAAGGAAAATAAAACAGTTACAAATAATTCTCTAGTAGCAGTCTGTATTTAAATAGGCTAAGTCTACTGCTGGGAACGTGTACTGCTAGGATTGGTTTAGGAGTTTTTCTCCTGACACACAAAGATACTATTACCAGAATTAACTCACCTTGGATTACCTCAGTCAGTCACTACAGTTACCAGTAAAATGAACGGTAAATTCTTTGACACCAGTGAACATGTATGAAAAATAGCTTCTCTTCACATTTTCAGTGGTGGTTAAAGACAGCAATCAAAAGACAGAACAGTGTTAAATCAAAATAATTGTAAACCTTTAGTCATGTGTCTGTGGAGGCTTTGCTCAAACAAACTTTCCCCAAGCATTAGATTGTTTATATGTTTTATGGACTTTCAATAGCTTTTTAAATTACAGAAACATTGATAATTTTAAAAATTAATTTTCCAAACATTGTGCTTTCTCTCCCATAGTTCTTCATTGGTTGTTTGCAACAGTATTTCTTCTTATCTGATACCTCTGCTGGTTGTAGTGGACAGTGGTGCCCCAACCCCATCCTTATCGGGAGTAGTACCAAAGATAGCAACACATTGGTGGGGATGTTGCTGCTGAGAATGTTGTTCCAGGCTCCAGGGAATGAAATGGTTCATGGGAGGCTTTCCCTTGCCCTGTGAAGTGTTGGCTTTTGATTTGCAGATTACAGAGCCTTATCTGCAACACTGAGTTACAACAACTTGCCCATCTCTTCAGTTTAAACTGCAAACTTTAGCCGGTCAAAGAGGATGTTTCTAGTGCTAGAGGACCTTTAAATGTGTAGAAAGAGATTATAGGGGACTGAGTGCGAGGCACGTGGAATTATTTTTAAATTAATTTTTGTAATCATACATAGCTTATATATTATATATTATTATATATATTACATAGCTGTAATACCACACTACAGACTGAGACTGAAGCAGCTATTCCCAGAGGTCCTTCTTGCCTTTTGTAATGCACAGAATGAGATGAACGTCAGCATCAGCATGTGAGGTGTGCTGGGCCTGTCAGTGCCATGTGGGTTAGAAAGCTGGATGCTTTAGTAAGCCAGGTTCATACCAGGGGCAGGAGAAAATTCCTCTTTGGACAAAGGTTTTCTAACATGGATATTGTCTGATACCCAAGGAATTAGTTTGGGTAAGACTCTTGGAAGTTGTTTTCCAGAATATTCCATTTTTTAGCTACTAACATGTTCCTTACAGTATGAGATTTAAGCAGTGGGAGAAAAAAGACTTTTGATGCACCTCTATTTACAGGGTACTGCTGTGGTCTGGAGTGGTGGAGGAGGGTCGTGCAGGTGGTTGGGAGTGTCATGGGAAGGTCTTAGTTGTTACTCAGACCTGGCTGTAACCACAGAAGGGATGGTGGAAGATACCTTGATGACAATAAAAATACTATACCTTGAACTTTTTTATGCGTTTCTTTCTGATACAGTGCTAAGTTCCTCATTCTGTGCTGATAAAGTGAATCTGGGCTAATACTTGTAAAATATTAGCATTTTACCTTATTAAGAAGGCAACATCAGTAACATGTTGACTGACTGACCATTAGTATGCCATTTATATAGTGGTGATCCTTATAAATACTAAAGTATCCTGTATATTGAACATCCTGAGAGAAAGAGATGGATGAGTATTAATTCAGCTTCCAAAACATCCATATCAGTTATTCTTTTAATTTAGCTCTCACAGCTTCTAAAAAAAAAATCTCATGTTCAACAGGTTTCTAACACCACTGTTTACTTCAGGAAAGCATTCATATTTTTTCTGGTTATTAAAAAATGTCTTTCAATAATTGTATAATATTAGCATGGAGAGCTGTTGTTTTTCCCTAGCTAGGGAATGTAGCTTCAATTATGTCAGTGTTACTGACTTTAGGAGTACTTCTTTTCATGCTGCATGAATTATTACTAATAAAACAAAAGCAAAATAACATCACGTTCCTAACTATGTGAAGGAAGCCTTCTTTTATTCCACTCCTGGTGTTCTGAGGAGACATTGAATCTGAGACTGATTTGTTTACAGTAGGGAACAATAATTTTTCATATTGAAGTACATGTTAAAGTACTCTAGTACTTAATTAAAGGAAAAACTTGTCTGTCCACTGAATTTTCTTTGTTGATCTCATTGTTTCAGCAGTTCAAATGTGGGTTTTCAGCTGGTCCCGGGGCTTTCAGTATATCTTGCAGTTCAGAAGCAGCAGGGGGAGTAGTGTAGCTTTATTTGGGGGCTCTCCTTTACCAGCACTACACTGAGTTGATTATTAGCCCAGAGCAGTGCTGGTCAGGCTCAAAATCAGGAAATCATCTGCTCCACTCTCCCTAGGTGAGATGGAAGCAAGATTCTGCAAGCTTTGCCTTATTGCACTTCTCTAACGCCCAAGTCCTGCAAATGTAGGAGTTTACCTGCTACAAGCAAAGAGTGATCAGGTGTTCATGTGATCAGGCCAGTCAGACTCCCATCATGAGGCTGGAGGGGATTTTGGGACATGCACTGGCTCACCTCTTTGCTCAGAGCAGGGCCAACACCAAGTGCAGACCAGGGCTTTGTCCAGTTGTGCCTTGAAAGTCTGCAAGGGTGGAGATTCCTTCACCTCTCTGGTTTACCTGTTCTAATGCCTAATTATTTCCACAGTGAAATATTTTTCGTAATGCTGTGCCGTTGTAGGTCCCTTTCAACTAAAATACTCCATTCTGTGACCATTGTCCCTTGTTCCCCTGCCACGCACCTCTCTGAAGGTGCTGCCTCATCTCACATTTTATAATGTGCTTTCACACCTCGCTTTGTCAACTACATATTCTGTTGAGAAACAGTTTTCATTTTTTTTCTGCTGTTTTATGTATTTCATAGATTTCATATTGAAATCTATGCTCAAATTTTTTTGGTCAGTGACCACACAAAATAAAATATCATCAAATATTCCTATTTTTTGAAAGCCCATTGTATTGTTAGTACTTGGTTTATTATCCCCTATAACGTGTACATATAATGAACTGCCTTCTGTATTACAGATACACTGAGCTTCCCTGTAATAGCAGTGTCAGGTCCTTGTGTGGGTATCATTCTGTTGCAGCAAACATCTTGGGCTTTTTTTTTGGCTAGGAATGGAGTCAGTGTAGAGAGTAAATTTGAAAATGCAATCAAGTACAGGGTGGAGAGCAAATAGCATGGTAATATGTGTGTATTCTCATTTGTTAAGGAGAAACTAATTTTAAAATTTAGTTATTGTGCAATCCAGTATCATGTTGGTCAAATTTAGATTCATGGGTTTTTTTGCACCTTTAAATCTCTGTTGTTTTTACTTGCAAGTTAATTTAATCTTGCGCTGCACGTAATATGTCACTGTGTTCCCACATGAATTTAAGATAAAAATAGTATTTTCTATGTATCAGCCCAGTTTTTCTCCAGTGAGAATGTGTTAAGGTATTGTGTTACTGCCATATAATTATAACTGTCTTACATTTTTGGCATTTGTTGAATTAAGCCCTTGCATACTTCCTTACTATAAAAATGTTATTTGGGTAAGTTACTAACATAATAAACTAAACGTTTTAAAATTATATTCCTATACACATGTTTGTAGGAAGAAGACCAAGATCAGGGTGCAGTAGGTGGAAAGGAAGACCAAGATCAGGATGCCAAAGGGGGAAGGGAAGACCAAGATCAGGATGCCAAAGGGGGAAGGGAAGACCAAGATCAGGATGCCACAGGTGGAAGAGAAGACCAAGATCAGGGTGCAGTAGGTGGAAAGGATGACCAAGATCAGGATGCCACGAGTGGAAGGGAAGACCAAGATCAGGATGCCATGGGTGGAGATGAAGAAGACCAAGATCAGGATGCCATGGGTGGAGATGAAGAAGACCAAGATCAGGGTGCTGTAGGTGGACAGGAGGAGAAAGCCAATAAGCCATTTCTTTCTCTTTCCCAAATTACTGCTTTGTTAGAAGAAAATCTAGAAGGAGTTGAAAAGTAAGTAGCAATGGCAACAGTGCCAGAAGCAATATAATAATGAAATAAAAATTACAGTCTATTTGCTGGATTTCCTTTGTGCTGGTTATTAGTGTTTAATTGTTCACTTAATTCATTAATATTTAATATGATTCACAAAAGGTGGAAGAAATACTGCTGATCTCAGATACAGGCTATTTTACTGTATTTCCTATATCTCTTGATTTTGCATTGTCTCCTTTTTCTTCCACTTGTATTTCACATTTATGTACTTTCTGAATGTACAACAGCTTTAAATATGCTCTAAATGTAATACTAAGGTGTAAATAAGAACAGGCCAATACTGAGGTTTTGTTTTGCTTTTTTTTTTTTTTATAATGAGTCTCCTTGGTAACTTTTTTGATAAAATGTTTAAGATTCTGTACTGTGAGTTACTGAAAAATAAAAAATATCTTAAAAGTTCAGAAGGGGATGAAAAACTTAAGAAGGTATTAGTAGTTCCCCATTACGGTGCACTGGGGAAACAGGAGGCAACCACAGACTTTTGATGTAAGCCAGTCTTCTCTTTCCTGAAGCAACACTCTCCCTTGTTATTAGTGTATAATAGCAGCTAAATTTAGGAGGCCAGGAGTTCAGCCTGAGACCCAGGACTTATATTTTAAAGATGAAACTTTTCAGAAGTGCCCAAATTATTTAGGAGCGCTTGTGTCCACTGGCACATTCTTAGTGCATCGAAAGCCAAAGGGCTGGGCCACTGGTCTAGTTTGGGAAGGAAGGGGTGGGGGGAGATAAAAAATCCAACCTTGTTCCTCTTAATAGGTAACCATTCAACAGAGATTAAAATATTATTCCTGAAATATATTCTGCTCCTCCTGTTTGTCACGATTCTGAGGAAAAAAGGTCTTTCTGGAATTTTGGTTTTTTTTAAAGAAAACTGGAAAGAAAACTTGCTACCGTCAAAGAATAATAATACAAAAATTCTTTCCTTTCCTGTTTTCTCTTGCACAATAGATCTCTTTAAATTTAGAGGAGACTGAATTGTACAACTCACTGGAGACTAAAATGTGTTTAACAACACGATTGGTTGTGAAACTTTCTCATTAAGAGTGGAAAGAAAAGCACTGAAAGCTCATAGTCTCTTTCTTATTCTCAGCTGATCACGTGTATGTTTACTGTACAAGGGGAATGTAAAGTACATGCTGCATCTGACTGAGAACAGGATAGTTACAGGGTACTTTATGCACTCTAAGCAGTTTAACAGCTTCATTAAAATTTTGTTTACCACAGTGCATTGTGTCTATTCGCAAGAGCAGTTTGAAGGCCTCAGCTAAGGTTAGAAAATCAGAATAGATCCCATTCAGTAGGAAAATTTTGGTGTCCTGCATTCCCATCTACCAGGGAGTTTTATACCACTGTCCATCTCTGTACGGCTTGAGCACCTTCCATGAACAAAGCAAAAGCAGTCGGGGTAACGAGGAAATCCAACTGCCCCATCATTTCCCAGTCATGCACAGACACTGTTGTCAGTGACATGCCTTAAAGAATATTGAAAAGATGAGTTCTGGCATTGTTAGCAGAATCAGGGAAAATCTAAATCCCTGAGAAGCTCTGATTATGAAAACACAGAGTTGGCAGAAGCTTCAGAAAGAGAGGATATGGACTGTTTCAAACGCTGGAAAGTTCAGCTGGCCCCGTTCCACTTCTATTTCAGGACACAGTTAAGTGTTTTTAACCGACTTGCATGTGTGCAGCCGTACAAATTTGTCATGGAGAACAAAGGAATACATGTTTTAAACAAAACTGATTGGATTATATGCTTTACTCTGTTAGCTATTGAGGCTTTAATTAAAAAAAGAAACTCATCTTATTTGACAGTGTATCTGTACTGTCTCTGTGAAACTCCTGAAAATCTAATGGTTCCCTATCAGTAGGTCTGGGATTAATGTCCTTCTTAGGAAGGAATGAGAAGGGGGGAGATTGGGAAGACTTTGCTTTTTTTTACAGGGGACTAGAAACTCTGATCAGTGGCACCTGGATCATCAGGTATAGTTAAGAATCCTGGGATTGCTTTAATGTAAAACTTAACTACCTGAGACATGGCTCAAGTTGTACTGGAAGAACTGCAGAAAGGTCCCAGCCCCAATCCCCTCTCTTCATGCGGAAAAATGTGTGCAGTTATTATAAAAGACATAACTAATTCTGTGTTTGGATAGAGCAGACATAAATGTGTCAGCAACACATGTGGCCTCCTACAAGGGAGCGTGTTTTTTCATAAATTTTGCACGTTGAAGTAACTGGAAAAATTTTCATCTTGTGCCAGTAAATAGGACGAGGCTCTTTTTAAATGTCGTGACCATTACAAAAGTGCAATTTAATTTCTAAATATTTTAGCTACTTGCAGTATTTATACATTATATTATTTGCATTAATTTTCAAATGTAATTTTTCTTCAGAGGAAAAATAATCTTGAAATGGAAACCTTGAAACAGAAACATGATCTTATTATTACTGTAAAACTGTCTCAGAGTGAAAGAGTAGTAGTAGAAAGTAGAGACTAATTGTTTCATTTCATCCTACAAACAACTTCCTGATGAAATGTTTTTTTCTCCGGGATTTTCAGTGTATTTCTTCTCAGTTTTGTAAGGCTATTATTCTCATTCTTTCATTAGTCATATCTTAACATTTAAATAGTGTCTGCTGAAATCTGTAGGTGGTAGTTTACTTTTTGCAGCAGATATGTCCTCTGATCATAAATGTTTGTATCTAGAAATTGATGCAGCTAAGTTCAAGAAATTATGTATGTTATGTATGTATAAATAATATAGTAAATAATAATAACAAATATTATTTATATAATTGCAAACAGATGAAGTTAATCTTTGGAATCTGTAATTTATTTCCTTAATTTCATTATTTCACTCATTTTTTCTTTTAGAATGTTGGAAGAATTTCTGAATTTTACACGATTAAAGACATCTTGGAGAAAAGCTGTTTTAATCGATTATTACAGTACGGGATTTCTGTGGGCTAAAGAAATGAACTTCAGTCTTATACAACTCTCAGGATTCATGGAACTATTAAATTTTGTCTTGGAGAACATCAGTGGTAAGTATAATTAAGAACTGTAAAATAAATGTCTGAAGTGGAAGGCAAGAATGTTTTCCAGTCATTTTAATAAAGCAATATTTAATTACAAATAATTGTAAAATTACTTATTTTCCTCTTGAATATAGGCATGCTAGACCTTGTGCCTGAAAATAATTCTTATCGGCAGATGTTAAAACTTTCATTAGAGAAAACTGTAGTCCTTTGAGCATAATATCCCTCATTCTTTGTTGGTACAGTATGTGGTACAAATGGGCCAGGTCCTGAAGAGACCTTTTCTTTGCTGTGGTAAAATAAATAATAATTACAGTAGTGTGAGAGCAAGGAGCTCCTAAATTCCAATTCCAGCTGTCTCAGTGACTGACTCACTGTAGCCTTGGGCACATTTCTCTGCTGTTTGAGATATTCAGTACATCCTGTAGCATTACAGCAGGTGAATTACATTTATTTTATCCTTGGAGGTCAACTCACAGGCAGCTTTCTATATGGCAAATGCTGCACTTCTGGCACAGAATGTATGTTAACTAAAAAATGATGAGGGAAGTAAACTGGCATTGCTGCTGAGGGTGAAAAATGACAATGAAGGGACTGGAACTCCTGTGGCTATGAGGAAATTTGCAACAAAGCTTGGAGCTTGGGTCTAGTGGGAATGAGAGAGACAGAAAATAATGGTAGCAGTGTCCTCTAAAACCTTCTTTTTCAGAGATCCTAATGCTTGCTTAACATTCACTTTGAAGGTGATTATGTGGAGAAAAGCCCATCCCAGAGGAAGAGTGAAAGGACTCAGCAGTTCCATTCAAAGAGAAGGCAAATATTTAAAATCAAGCTCATAATAGTTATTATACTCTTTCATTGTAATTTAGTTCAAGGGCCTTTCTGACTTGGAATTTTGACAGAACATGTACGTGCTTTATGATCATTGGAATTCCAGTTGTCCTTCCTGTCTCCAATGAGAAAGTATCTTAACATATGCTAACTGTATTACTATAACAATGGGGAGGAATGGAAACCTGTCAGAAATTAGTTTTATGAGGCTGTGTAATGCATGTGTACACGACGGGCTGGTAGCACAACTGATTATTAAAGCTGACTGACGTTCTTCAGGAATGTGATCTTGGCTGCATAAAGCTTTGCCAAACTTTAACTCTTTAAGATGAAATTTTCCATGGCAGTGTCTGCCTCGGAATAATTTTTATATATAAAATTGCAGCTGATCCCTTTCAGTGGGCTTGCAGACAGAGGCTATGGGGAAAAAAAAAAGTATTTTGTATCTTTTTTTTTTTAAACAGCTCTAATACCCCTGTGCTTTGAGGTAAAAGACATAAGGTTTGGCAAGCAAAGGTTGTGAATTTGCTTTTTGCTGTTCCTGTGAAAATCCATTTGGATTTGGCTAAAATACAAGGGGTTTAGGGAAAGAAAATGCAGTTTTTAAATGCTTACAGGAGTGTTCTTATATTTTCTTCACAGCTAAGTTCCCTGAATAATCCATTTTATAAAATACGCTGTAGCCCAGGGCTGAGATGAATTTCCTTGTAATTACTGTTCTCAGCTGGTGCAAGTTTCCAGACCAAACATTTAAATTAAGAGCAAAACTCTAATGTCTTCTATATTAATGACCCTTTGCTTTCCCTTCCCTGCACTGGAGACAAGCAGCCTGGAGAATTAAACTGATTTGGCCCCAAAAGCAAGAGTGGCATGGAGCAGGAGGAATGGATTTAGAGGAGGGCAGTGGAAATGCATTTAAGACTGGGAAAGGAGAAAGGAAAACTGGAGGCTTTGGTAGATTGGGAGCCAGAATGAGTTCATGATTTGATTCCTCTTCTGTACATTGAGGATGAAGTGCTCCTTACCTCACAGAAGTTCTGTGAGAGCCTTCCTGAGAGAGGTGGGCAGGGCTGAAAATCAGGTGTGCACAGGAAAGGGAAAATTTGGATGAGCTGGCAACAGATTTGGGTCTGGGTGATCCTGTTCTGTGGCTTCACTTCCCTACAAAGGGTGGTATTTCTGGTTCTGTTGCTCTTCCTCGTTTCCCATGGCTTCCATTTCCTCCACATTCTCTGCATTTCTTCCTTGTCCCCTCCATTATGGTTATTTATATTGTGCTGCCTCTCTTACTCAAAACTGAGGTGAAGTTTTCAGGCCTTTGATTACTGTACCACTAAAGGGCAAAACTATAAAGACCAAAAGTCTTATAAGTCTTTTAATTTGTTTTCTGTACAAAGAACCAAGGAATGTATCAGTAGAGACTTAAAACAGGAAGGAAAATAAATCTATTTCACCACTGGTGTGTATTTCCCCATTTTTTGCTGTAGATTTTTTAGATAAAAACTGAAAAAGTAAATTGTGTTCAAAGCTTTGTTTTTTAAACTCCCCGTGGTTTTAGTGATGGCAGACACTGTGTGCAAATCAGAAAGATGAATCCTTTCTTTTTATATGTTCAGCAAACACTGCTATATTTCAGATTTTCCTCTTTGTCAAGAAAGTTAACAAACAGAATTTGAATTCTAATTCAAAGCTGCTTTGGCACTTAGTTTTGATTTCCAAGGTAAAAAAGTAAGGTAAGTAAGTATCTGTTCTGGAGAGGTACAAAAATATCTTCAAGTTTGATGATACATGGAGGGTATTATGCATATTCACGTTTAATTATGATTGTAAGCACTTAAAAAATTTGGTTTCACTTTTTAATATTTGTTCCTGTATTAGTGGGTTATGTTGTAAGGGACATGGTCAGAAAAATAATATTTTACAATACATAAACAGTAGTAAATTTATTTTAAAGCTAAAACATACTCTACATCTCAAATTTTCATATGTTTCTGCCTGTGGTTATCTCTGCATAGGTAAGAGGCCAAGCTGTACTATCTTGAGCACCCCTTATTATGATCCTTGGTGATTTTGTGATGGAATTTTAATGGACACTCTGTTGATGAGAATAATGCCAACAGAGAGAAGTGTTTGACTGCTGTTGCTTTTTAAGTTTTGTCATGGCTCATACTAAAACTTCAAGAAGTCTTTTTAATTAAAATGGGCCAAAAAGCCCCACCCCACCTTGTCAAGTTCATACATAGTTTTTGTTCTTTGGGATTATTTTGCAGACAAACATATGACCTTAGGAGATAATTTAAAAGAACTGGAAAGAGCAATGGCTGAAATAGGAGAAACTGATTCAGAACAAGGAAATGACTTGAATTTCTTCAGCATTGAGCAAGGCAAAGCAATCATTGATTACTTCATTAACAGGTATTTATTGCTACAGAATCTGTTATTTCTTATTAAAGTAATTTAACATAGTGGGGAAATTACTGGTAAAATTATTGTTGTTGTTATTATTAAATACAAAAGAATTAAATTATTCACATATTAAAAATTACTAAATTACTGTTATTTAACTGGATATGTTCCTACTGTGCCAACATACTGCACAGATAAAACCTTAAACCGTTAAAAAGAAGAGAGAATAGGAAAAGAAGAGAGAATATACAAGCAGCAATAAAAATCTAGCCTCAGATGTCAAAGCCCAGAAAATAAATTTAGACTGGAAGTTTATCAAACTGTAAGATACTACTGAAAATATTCCTTCTGGGTTTTGTTTTGAGTAATAAAAGGAAACAGAATGGTATGTAGAGATATTTTTGATTTGTTTTTAAAACATACTACTTTTAAATTCCATCCGAATAGAATTTTAGGTCTTGTCTGTAACTCTAAAGTCTGGCCTTGACAGCTGTAGTGGACTTCTTAAGTGATTAAAAGTTTTTTACTTTACAGAGGTAAAACTTAAGGTTACAATCATATAGGAGTCATAAAAATGTTGCATTTCAAAACCAGCAAAATTCCACTGTCTGCATGAAAATGTTTTCTGACAAGAGATACAGAAAGAGATGCAAACAGCAGTAATTCAGTTATTCATCTGCGAAGAATAAGAGTCTGATAGCACCTACTATATAGTAGTGTGTCCAGACCTTTCTCCGCTGACATTCCATGTTTAAGTCAGTGACTGTACTCACACCCCACTGTTTCCAGTGCATGATGGACAGAGTGGTTCTCACGCTCTTTTATCACCCCTGAATGTTGGGGAACAAGGAGATGGACAGTTGAAAGTCGCTCTTGTGGTATGTGCTCATACCCTGCACTGCATCTGTAGCCCTTGAGCCCATTTTTTTACCTGAATGGTGGTTAGAGGGGAATTTGTGGCAGATGGGCATAAAAAACTCCGTAAGATCGTGACTGATCCATATATAGTTTTTTGGGGAATTTTCAGACTGTTCTTTTGCTAGGAAAAGTTTGACACGTCAAAGAGGGTTTTTTTAGAGTGTTTTCCTGAATGTAGAAAAGTATTTCCTCTTGAAGACAGGCAAAAATATTAGGATAGTTATGAGCCTTCCAGTTTACAGCACTTGGATTCAGACAGGAGATGTAAACCCATCACAGGCGATTTCTCTTAAAATTGGCTATAAAGTTTGTCTTTTTCTCCTGCTCTCTGATTTTTTTTTCTTTTGTATCTTTTTCATGGAAAATACAAAAACCCTTCGGGTTGTTCCCATATGAAATGGGAACATCTCTTTAAATCTCAAATTTCTGTAGTCAAGGCAAACCCATGTCCTGCCAAGTACTAGCCCTAAACTAAAAGGAAACTTGGCATTTGAGATGTCTCTCTCAACTTCTTTTACTTCTCCCTTCCTGTCTGTGTCTTTTGTGTATTTATATGGAACAAGTGTTCTCTCCAAATAGCGTGTCTACAGCTCTTTTATAAATTATCCATTGAGAGATATCTTGTCCATGAAGTAATTCCTTCACAGTCACAAGAATTTCATCCAAGAGATTAGGTGCTCCATCCTTCTACCACCAAAGTATTAACTGGGCAGGAATACAATCGAGCCGCAAGACTTTTGCAGCAGAGTGGTATTTTGGCTGCCAGAATTGTGTTTTTATGTTCAAACTGCTCAATTTATTACAAGTGTATGCTGTTACAAGGTCATGGATATACACATATACACTGAAATGTGTTGTATGTGCCCGGTTTATGCATTCCATTATTTCAGTCATTGGAATATTTTTTCCCAAATAAGAACAGAATCAGCAAACTTACATGAGTGTACTTTGAACTTTGTGAACTCAGAAATAGGTTGACTGAGTTATTGAAATTAATGTATCACTTCAACATTTTTTTTCTTGTTTTATTTTAAATGATAGGCTTATAGCTTTTTTTTTTTTCCATTCAAGACAGGATGACATGTTGTAGTTCAGATCACATTTTTACAGGTGAGCTCTAAACCCATGAGATTTATAATGGAAACAGGGACAAATGCTTAACTACGTTGGCACAAACTGTGCAGCAACTATAATGACACCTTCAGGTTTGGTGGAAGGTGACAGTTATCATCTTTTTATCTTGTCTCCTTGGGCAAACACACATCAACATAGCTCTTGACATTTTCTTTCAGGAAGCAGTGGAGCTGGGTAAATATGTCATTGTTAATCACCTTCAGATTCTCATATGACATCATAAAAGGGTCTATTCCTAATCTTACTTACACAAGCAAAATTTTTTTTGTGTAATTGCTGAAAACACTGGTATGGAATTTTTTAATTGTTCATAACAGGAACAAAAAAGCATTTTCTATAATATTGATTAAAGAAAGAAAACTACACTGTGTAAACATGGATGTATAATTTATGTGATTTGATGTAAAGAGCATTATATGGAGGAATTCCTTCCTTGATACAGCATTAAGGGTGCCAGGTTGAACAGAGTTCTGTTTAAAAATGAAGACATAAAATTCAGAAATGCCAAATAAAATTACTTGTATTTTTGGGGATGTTATATATTATTTGTACCTGTAACATAGTACATAAAGAATATCATAATACATTTGGAGGGGAAGGGAAAAAGGCCTGATTTTTAAGTGCTGTAAATCTGTCTCATTTCCAAACCACTGGAATAAGTAAAAGAAAAAAAGTCTGAAATGCTAATTTCTCTCAGTGCAGTTGGAAAGATGTATGTCTTATTTCTTGTGTGTCTGTGATGTTCCTAAAATATTTTTTTTGTTTTTTTTTTTCAAATAGTCCCTGTTAAAATTTTGCCAAAGAATAGGTGTGTATGTGAGGGGACATGTATTTCCATACATTGGTACGAGTAATTTCCAGGTTAAGTCCTGAAGTCTGTTTAAACATAATTTCTCTGTCCACTGAAACATGTGAGGAATTCTTTGGTGAAGTGCTGCAATAAAAATGTAGTGCAAATGAAGTGGCAAATATTGTAAGAGCTTAATTAATTGCCTGTGTGTTTTGGGTTTAGGGGAAGGCAGCCTGTAGCTGATGGTGGCCAAACTTGTTGTGCAGGCCTTGCAGGTGCCAAGGCAAGAGGCATTGCTGGCCCATTGAGGGTTTTCTTAAGAGTGTCCTGTCCCTAGCTAGAAAGCACAGGAACCACTTACAGATGTTCCCTGCAAATGTTGCTGTACTTTTCACGGATACATCAGGCAGGAGTGCGATAAACTGTTGGAATCATCCTTCAGCCTGGACTTGCTATGAAATCACAGAGCTGTGTTTTAAATTATATGCCAAAATGACGTGACAGAAGCCAGAATGATTTTAAGAGAAGTAATTGTAACAGATGGACTGTGACAAACGAAATCTTTGATTAAACAAATGCCATATCATTGATCATTAGAGAAGGAAACAAGGAAAATTATTTCAAACACGTGAAAAGGAAAGCCGTACATGTTTTAAGGAAGATAAATATTTTGGGCCATTGAGAAAGTCTATTTAAAGTTACTTTTGTTGTAATACACAAAACTGCTGTGTATCAATCTAGTTTTTTAGTTTGTCTTTGAGGAAATACTAAGCTGATTTTGCTAAGTGACCTCGAGAGAATAAATGCTTCCATTCTTTATTGTTTTGGTGTTCCAAGATCAAACTTGCTCCCTGGACTGGCAGCCCATCCCAGAATCTGAAAGTTGATTTGGCTTTGTTTCCCTCTTGTCTGCTATTGCTGATATTAAAGGCGTAAGTATCCTGGTGATAAGTGTTTCAGGAATTACTTTTTTCAGAGTAGAACTTTGTCTTCTCAGAGTTCAATTCCATAAGGACTAAGAGGATGTATTTTTTAGTATCATACTGAATTTTCTGCAGCCATCTGATAGTATATCCTGCAAACTAAATATGCTGCATGTTGTACCTGAAGTTAAACAATGTTCTCTTTTTAGAATTTGGAGTATTACCATGCTGGAGGATAACCCTTAGTTTAACAAAATTTGTAATATTTTTATCTTTCCAGAAATTTACAACTGTAATAGTCCATATTCTTTTGTTTTTCAGCTTATTTAAATTTTATAGAGTGTATGAACTCCTCTTCCGAGGTCCTAGAGGACTTGAGTTAAGTGATGAGGTGAGTCATTTATATAGATGGAACTCATTATGCAGAGTTATTTAACGAGTGCACCCTGGCATATGTTTTATATTGCTCAAAGCAACTTCATGTCAACATTGCTATGTTACTAAAGTAAAATGGCTGATTAAAGAACACAAGTTAGATGTTTTGATCCTCGTATTCAAAATTAATTTTGGATTTCAAAAAAGTGTAAATGCAGTGCTTGGTTAAGCTGTTAGTTGTGTTAAATCAGGAACACTTTTGTGTATGTATTTGTAAGTTGATGCATGTAATTTGAATTAGCAACGCATGAGTCTGGCTCTATTTTAAAGCCAGCAGTCAAAATCAGAAAAGGTTGTGTACCAAGCCCAGTCTGACCACAGCCCCAGTATTTATGTATGCATGTGTATGTACAGAGTTTTGTTTCTGCTGTAGCCACAACAGTTAATTATACTGACTGTAAAGAAACAAGCAAGCTAGAAATTGTGCATTTTGGAAGCAGTTGGTTAATGGCAGTGAGGTGGCTTGACTGTAAATTTTGTCATGCATTCTAACTTGCACGTGAAAAAATACGTAGGAAAATGTGTCGATGCAGGATGTGGCCTTTAATCAAATGGACAGATTCAATCAATGAAATAAAACCCTTCTTTAGCCTCACTGTGCCTTTTGAGGATATATGTTACAATACATTGAAAAAGATTTACATTTTAAGTTTGTATTGGGATACAACTGGTTGCTCAGAGAGGCACGGTAGTAAAATTTTTTTGATGGCACTTATATTTTAGCTTATCAGTACACAGTGAAGTTAAAATTAATGCACTGGAAAATTTTCTTTACACTTTGAGCTGGTGGTTGGACTGTTTAAATGATGTGAGATAATTTTTTTCTGTGTTGCTTTTAAATATTATAAAAGACTTTTCTTGACGTGGATGCAAATATTTGGAATTTATTCTGATAATTTCTAAGGTGGGCTGAAATTCCAATTATGATGCAGTCAGTGACTAAACTGTCAATACATAGGTAGAGCAGGATTTAAGAATTACTATATTAGAGTGGGTGTTTTATATTAGCTAATTGGATCAATGGGTGGTTAGCACATCCTAATTGGTAAAAATTGATTTTAATGAGGCTTTGATTAAGTGATTGTTGTGTAAATTTGGGTAATGTATCATATCAGTTTCAGAATAGTGTAAAAGAAACGTCTCTGTGTTTTCTTAAAACCCATTTGTGGTGAGTGAGGTCAGCACGGGGCTGTCCCAGCCACGGAAGGATGGTTACCCTTCCCGGATGCTGGGGAGCACCATCTCTGCTGAGGGTACCACCTCCTCCAGGGAATAGCAGAAATGGATTGCTGGGAATGACTTGGATGAGAGAGAATCCATCAAAGCAACAAGTGCCATCTACAGTTATAACTGTCACAAAAACCTGCAAGACTGTTTTTAGCCATAACTCCTGTACAACCATTTCGTACCTATGGCACCACTTCAGTTTAATGCATTTTGTATTCTGAGTTACATGGCAGAGAGCTTTTAATTTGTCCAACCACACTCCAACACCCAAGAAAATCAATAGTTATATTCTGTTAGAGTCTATTTTGATAGGGTGATGCATTGTTCTTCAATAAGTAACAGTTTAAGGCATCGAAGCTGCACATACAAATTTATGGCATTATTTGTGCTTGCTTTATGTATTAAAGTGTAATGAGAGGTGAATCCAGCATAGACTTCAAGCTCTTTTGCTACAACTTTGTTATATTTAGAAATGCTTATGCATAAAGGAGAGCATTACTTCTGTATTTCCAGTCCCTTAGAGGAGCAGCTCAGACCCCGAGGAGCTGTTGGGACTGCCATGGTTTGGTGTGTGTCCCTGTGGCAAGAGCACACCTGGAGTTGCCTGCTCTGCAGTGGATCTGCTCAGGGAACGGGAGATCCACTGGGATAGCTGTGTGCTGAAATTAGACAGTAAATCTGTGCTGAATCTGGGCTGACTGCAGTCCTGCCATGTAGACCAATGTATTACAAAAAAAAAAGGCCACTCTAGACACAGCAGAGCCCACAGCTGGATGCGATCCTGATTCTGAGTTGAGAACGATTAATGTCTAAAAAGTTTTCTTTTAGCTCCAGCAATAAAAGCCTGTTCTTTTGGAACAGGGCACTGTAAATTGTAATGGCCAGATTTGCCCAAATAACAAGAACCACGGCGTTCCAAGAGCTTAATTATAGTATTATCTCCTTTTGCAAATGAACACTTTGAGACAAGTCAGTGAAATGACTTGCTTCAGCAGAATTGATTTGCTTCCACTGAAATGGCTTTAGCTCAGTGAGATGTGTGCCGAAAGAATTACCTACTGAATAAAAGCCCAACAGCCTAACGAGGAGAGCTGCTCCTTTAAAAGAGATGCAGCTACAACAAATAAAAGCCATACTCAGTGTTTTAATGGATATCCTTTCAGAGAAACCGCAGTGTGTGTTTTCCAGAGAAATCTTATAGCGATGGGCTGTAAACTCATCGGAACTTTTATTTTTTTTCTCTAGCACAGGCAATTATACAGTGTTCTCAATCAGGTTTCCTTTTTGATCTTTCACTGCAGTTATTTCCAAATGACCCTGTCATTTCCTGTGTGGAATAAAATCAGACAAGAAAAGGGAAATGACTCAAAAGTCAGATTATGCATACAATATCTGTGCTACTGCCACTTAACAAAATTTAAGTTATTTAAATGTAGCACATAATTAGTGGAGCTTCACAGTCTGATTAATATTCTGCATTTGATGCAGCTAGCATAATGGAGCCACCTTTGTAAAATACAGACAGTGTTAAAGTCTTTAAAAAAGTAACAACTGCCTAGCTAATTTAAATGTATTTTTTTCTTGCATTGGCTAAAGCCTTCAAACCCCAAACTGCCTGAGGTGATCATATTGCCTAGGAAAAAAAAAGGTTAAAACAGAAAGACATGAATGCTTGGTTAGATGATAAAACACACATCACACTTCTAACCTACTTTGACAGTATTTAAAATTTAAAACTTGCCTTTCCAGTTATCAAATCCCTTACTTCTCCTTCGTTCCAGATCTACAAAGACCTATATATTATGTATGCATGAATACCTGTTAGAAAACATGACGGTACAAGGAACTGCTGAGAAGTGTTAAGATTGCCAAGTAAATTCATTGCTTTTTTTTTTCCTGTTACTATTATGAGCAGTTCCCCCTATTTGGAATGATTACGGAAGAAGCTGTGCTTTAGCTGTTCCGTGGCTGTGATCCAAAATAAAATGCATGTAGTGCTAACATACTAGGGTTCTTCAGGAATATTGTTGTTAAAGATACTGTTTTTTTCCTTTTGCCTGTTCTGGAGGTTTTGCTCTCTAGCTGTGATTTAGTGCACCTATATTAGCCTGCAATTTCAAGGAAGGCAAAAGGACTACAGACTAAATCTTGATGTGCAGGGATTCAGTGGAGCAATTCCTATTAACACATGTCAGATCTTATAACAAAGGTTTAAATTGTTAATACGTGAGTTGTGTAGAAGTTTTTATTCTTTTCTATTTCTATGTTCAGTTAATTTATTTTGCTCTGATAGGATGATATATTACAGCCCATCTTGTAATTTTTTTTCTCGCATTTACAAATTTTACCTTATACTGCAGTTCATGTTTTTTTGCTGCTCTCTGTTGTGTATTTTTGGATGGAATGAAGCTGAGGTCTTTTGGGATTATGTCTGCTTTGAAACATTTCCTAATAAAAATAATGTGGTTGGTAAATCTAGTTTTATTCCTAGTTGCTTTAGCCAGCCTGATGGAGTAATCTGCTATTTTATGGCCCAGATGACTAGCTAAGTTTGACTTCTTGAAATAGTAGTGTACAATGTAATTTTCTTTAGAGATGTCATAGTGGGTCAGGTTGCAATAAAAATATCGAAGATTAAGTTTAATGGCAGTGCAGATTCAGTATTATAGCAGTCACTAGATATCATCCTCTGTACTTAGAGTTCCAAAACAGTTTCCATTAATGCCTTCCTTCCATGTACTCCTTACTTTCTGAAACATTAAGCTTTTGGACTATGTCTGGTCGTTATCCAATTGTGGGTTGGGCTGTTTTTTGGAGTTTTTTAAGTTTGAACAAAATCCCTTCTGTGTTTGAATTTAAGGGGGCGAATAGGAAGAATATCCTATTTGAAAGCTAATAAAGTTGTGGGTTTTTTTTTTTTTTCTGATGGCAAAAGACCTGAAGTCTGGGACTTGACTTTGATATGTAATCCTCATTAGGTGTTGCATATTTAGATTAACTAGTTAATCAATCATTGTTTAAACAAATTTGCTCAATGATTTCTTGAGAACTGCATTTTAAAGATCTATGAAAACACAACATTTCTACAAGCATATCAGTTCACACTAGAGAGACTCATTCCCCAGCTAATGGAGTGCTTTTCAAAGCCTGGGGGTTTCAGATATTTGAAATGCTTAAAAACCACTGAGTTGATTTTTTGTAGCTTTGTTTTGTAAATATCACCATGGCAAAGGCACCAAGAGGAGCATAGGACTGGAAGGGATGTCTTCAATTGTCAGCTCTACTGCCTCTTTCTCATAGGGAAATACACATAATTCTCTTGAGAAACTTGTCGAACTCCAGTTTTAAAAGTTAACTTTTTTTTGTCTTTGCTCTTCCACTTAGAAAGCTGCCCTGGTGCCTGGTTTCTGTAATGGTTACAAAACTTCAGTTTCTAGTCTGAGTGTATTCATGACAAGCTTATGTGCATTTGTCCTTGTGCCAATTTGTGCCAGCATTGACCTTTAGCTCTCATTCCGTCCCCAGTGTTTATTTTTCTGGTGTATAAAGAGACAGCAATCTTATTGTCAGCCTTCATTTAGCTAGACTAGAAAAGCCAGCCTTCTCTAATCTTTGCTTTCAAGGTAGACTTTTGATATGTGTATTCCTACCAAGGTACCAGCCTCTAGTCATCCTGTTGGCCTTTTTCTATAATTGTTCAGCTTTAAATCAGCGTTGTTTGAACATAAG